TATAGAACCAGTACAGTCTACTTTATATCTATACCTTAAATACTTTAATGTGTAATAACTTGTTGAAAGAAGATGAGCAACTTATGTACAGCAATAAAGACTAACATTAACAGTTCCCTCAAGTCATGTTAGTCATTTAACCTATCCGAAGTTGTAAGTTAACGTCAACTAGTAAGATCGAGTTCTTACCAGTTTTGTTACATTCTCTCCTGTATTTAGTGATCTCTTTTTTGGCCAGAACAGATAAGTTGTCGTATTTTTTTTGCACCTCTTGTATGGACCTTTTCACCAGACTTCTTGAATTAATTTTCATTACAATTTCCTCCCACATTCTTTGTTTTCTCTTTGCTGTTATTTGCGGATCAAATTTACTTTTTAGTATGTTCTTTCTTTTATTGAATTCTTCCAAAAGTATTATCTTTTCCTCCTCTGACCAATTTGGCTGTCTTGTTTTCTTTTCTCCCATTTTTTTTCTTACTTTGTGAGTAACTTTACTTGTGAGGCGATAACAGGTATCACAAGTAAGCGCGAGTGCAAAGATATGAACAGTCTCCATGGAAACGGGACAATTTTACTGCTGTAAAACGTCTTTCAATGTTGTAAATCCCTTAATGTTTTTCCTTAACTAAGGAAACCTTTTAAGGGGTTCTGTGCGACACCCTTAAATAAATCCCTTAGCTAAGGAGAAATTAAACCTTAAGTGTCATACTTAAGGGGAAAACTTAAGGTGTTTTGTGCAACCGGCCCCTGGTGCTCCCTGTGTTGCTGTATGGCTGTGAGACATGAACGCTATCCAGTGAGCTGAGACAAAGACTGCGGTACTGTGTCTCTTCGGAGAATCCTTAGTTTGACTTTGTGTCAAATGAGCAGTTGCTAGAGGAGTTCTGAATGAGGCACATTACACACATTGTGAGGGAGGACCCAAGCAACTGGACCAGGCTGAGGGGACACCCACGTAACCCCTGTTGTGGCAGATGGATGGACATTTCTGAAGTGTGGGACTGGACCATGTGATTGCCTGGGGGGTCATCGCCAGAATCCCAAGGAGTTTCGCTGTGCATGCTCCCCAACCTGACCTGACCTGATTAGTGGTGAATGCAAGTATACAGTCGTGAGTGAAGAGGGAGTAGAGGATGGGGCTCAGTACACAACCTTGCAGTGTACTTGTGTTCAGGGTTATGATGGAGGAGAAATGGACGCCCAGCCATTTCACCTGATGGAGCTCCGACAGGATGCTGAAGCCCAGCTGGTACAGTTTATGGATGACGCAAACTGGTCTAGATGAAGTCTGGTTCCAACTGTAGACGAGGCCTGGTATTTATTTCATAAGCTTTTTAGGGCTGTTGTTGATAAGCATGCTCCTATGAAAAGATTCACAGTAATGGATCGACATAGCCCTTGGCTTACCCCTGAGCTCACTGTGCTTCTCCAACAAAAAAATATTTTATGGCGCAAGGCAAGATACTCTAGATCCCCAGCAGATATTTTGATTTTTAAGCAATTTAGAAACAAATCTTTACAAGCCGTTCGCAAGGCTAAAACGAATTATTTCAAGAAGCAGTTCTCTCTGAGTAGCTCTAATCCTAAAACAGTCTGGCATACGATAAAGGAGATGGAAAATAAACCATCTTGTAAGCTACCTCCTTCACTCCATTTCGAGAACATTGTAGTATCAGACAAGAAGCGTATGTTGGAGCTTTTTAATAAGCATTTCATAACTTCTGGTCTAACCCCTGAATCAGCTAATTCTGTCTCATCACCAATAAATTCTATTAGTTTCTCTAATGTATCTCCTTCAACTCTCCCTCATCCTATACTACCTCCACCCTCTACCCATAGTTTCATTTTGCGGGCTTTCTCAGAGGATGAGGTCCTGGATGAATTGCTCAGGCTTAGACCCCAATAAATCTGCAGGGTCTGATGAGGTGGATCCTATCTTTTTTAAAATTTCTGCCTCTATCATTGCTGCTCGTATCACACATATATTCACAGACAGATCCCAACTGTTATAGGCCTATTTCTGTCTTGCCATGTATTTCTAAGGTTTTGGAAAAACTTGTAAATGGTCAACTCACTGAATACTTGAAAGCACACAACATTCTATCAACTGTTCAATCAGGATTCAGAACTGCTTATGGGTGTATAACAGCAACTCTTAAAGTCTTAAATGATATTTACTCTTCTTTGGATTCTAAATTGTACTGTGCTGCCATTTTCATTGATTTGGCCAAAGCCTTTGACTCTGTGAATCATAAATGTCTCATTGATAGGCTTTATGATATTGGCATTTCTGATAAAACCTTGTCTTGGTTTTCAAATTATCTTAGTGATAGAGTGCAGTCTGTGAAATCTGAACAATTCCTTTCCCAGCCTCTCCCAGTCTCCAATGGCGTCCCACAGGGATCAATACTTGGTCCAACACTTTTTTCCATTTATATTAATACTGTAGCAAACTTGGTTACAGATTCATCTATTCAACTTTATGCCGACGATACAATTCTTTACTCTATAGGTCCTTCCCCTGCTATAGTCTCTCAACAACTACAACATAGTTTTAGCAGATTGCAACAGACTCTTTCCAAACTGCATCTCCAGCTAAATACCTTCAAAACTAAAGTCATGTGGTTCGGTAAAAAAAGCCATGTTCCATCAAACTCTCCAAGTATCCGTTCCCTCGATGGGACACCTTCGGACCAGATTACCGAATATAAATATCTGGGAATTTGGCTAGACAACACTCTGTCATTCTCAAAACACATAGATAACTTGAAGTCTTTGTAAGAAAAACATTGGTACAAATTACCATTCTCCCCATGTTTGATTATGGTGATGTTCTTTATAGATCAGCATCTAAAGGCCTGCTTCAAAAGCTTGATGTTCTCTACCATTCTGCCGGTTCATAACTAATGCTCCTTTAAAAACTCATCACTGTACTCTGTATTCTTCTCTCAATTGGTCATCTTTGTATACCCGCCGTAAAATCCACTGGTTTATGGTCATTTACAAAACTCCCCTTGGTTTGTCCCCCCCTTATTTACACTCTACTTCCACTGGGTATAACACTCGTTCTGCTAATCTAATTCTGCTGACAGTCCCTAAGGCTACTTCTGCACTTGGTCTGTTGTCTTTCCGGAATGCTGCTGCTAGAGACTGGAATGATCTGCAGAAAACGCTAAAACTGAACATTCTCATTCCAAAGTCTGCTTTCCAATCCCGGATCTCAACTCACTTTAACGACGTGTGCTGTTGCTATTTAGATTAGACTAGCTGCTTTTATTTATTGCTGCTCCTTGTTTATTTAATGTTTATGTCATGTTTGCAAATGTGTAACTTATTTACTGTTTCTTTTAATTTTCTTATTTTCTTTCAAAAGGCTCTGCCTTTTGCCAGGCCACAGTTGGAAATAAGAAACCCGTTCTTAATCTGTCTTGCCTGGTTAAATAAAGGTAAATAAAAAATAAAAATAAAATGAAAAATACCCTCAGAAACCTTGGACGGTCTACTTTTGAAATATATAAAGGTAGAATCTAAATATATTTTTATAGCCTCGTGATATGAATAAAAAGAACAAGAGTGACTGACTTAAGCGTTTGCGTCTCGAAACAGTTCTCATCGCCCGCCCACTTGCAAATCACGCTATTCGCATGATAATAACATGATAATCTGACAGTTGGTATTGGGTAAAGAAATATATGCATATGCCCATTGTGACTCAAATAAACAAGAGAACATGTCTGGGTAGTGTTTACACTGATTGGCTACAACATGGCACACACATACGTCTCTGCTTCTGAAGCTTTGCGCCAGCATTGCCCCTTTCAGCAGCGAATCTCATACCTGTGTTCCTTTCAGCGTTGTTCATTCGCATGCGAATGCGGTTTGAATATGCGGTAATGCAGCTATTTAGAACGTGAATAGCGATCTTCAGGTGAGAGCGGTACTACACGCCCCCGATGCAGGTAATACAAAGAAAGGTGACATGGTTTACTTTTTTGCCTATTTACCCTAATTTTAAAAACTTTAAATACTTCCGACAATGGACATTTTGAAAAGCAGATTACGGATTTAGTCAGTGTTTTTTTTTTTTTAATGATTCTACATAAAGATTTCAGCGAGATATAAACTGAAATACACGAGAAAGAGACGATGCCCTCGTCCCCAGAGGGTTAATAATAGTGAATTATTTTATTTCCGTTAACTCTGCATAGGCACTGCATCATATTTATCGTTTTCTATAGTGACTGCTCACAGTTTTTCATTTGTTATTCCATCTACCAATAAACTGTGAAAAGGATTTTATTGTTGCTACTTTTCTTGCGTTTCAAACTGCCAAAGTGATGAGTGTGGGGTGCAGTGACATTCTATGAGGGGCTGTTTACAAAATATTTCAGACGTTTGTTATACAAACACATTTGAAATATTTGAAAATGTCAAGGCATGTCAGACTACCTTGAAAGTGGCTGAGAGGCCTCAGACTCCCAAGGGTTAAAATAGAAGATATATTGTGTCCCTAGCATTACACAAAAATTATAAACTGGTAAGTGGTCGCAAAGAGGATTCTTTTTACTGTCTTGCCTGTATCTTTCATTTGGACTTGGACTCAAACCTCTTTGGACTCAGTCTTGACTTGGACTCAAACCTCTTTGGAGTTAGTCTTGACTCGGTATTGACTTGTCCTAGTCTTGATAAAGGTGGTCTTGATTACAGCTCTGCTATGGGTTAATAAGTAAATGTAAAAAATACATTTGTAGT